AGCGTAACTTTCGAGATATCCCATTGTTCTGGCAGTCTCTCGGTTTCAAAACAGGCTTGACATACCCTCTGTATGCTCTTTGCCATTCCGACCCCGATCTTGAAAACTTCTGCCGGTAATCCATCCACGCCACTACTTTTCTTGTTTTTAAGCCGCTTTATGGCTTCTGTAACTTCATTAAGCTTTATGTCTGGTGGCACGGGATCATGATCTTTTTTTTCCAATGACATATCATGAGCACGAGCAGTAATCAACAAGATCGATGGTACAGCTTATGAAGACTGGCATCTCCAAGTCATAAGGCCAAACAGTAGACCAAGTATAACATCAGGATTAGTGAAGCTTCAGCAGTCAAAACCAAATCTTTCAACAATATTGTCGAGAGCTTTGGTTAATGATGCCAAACTCTTCTCATCTACTTTCCCAGCCATGGATCGATAAAGCAGCTCAGTTGTCTCTACATTTGTGCCACAAGTGACTACATGACTGACAGTCAAGTCTTCTCCACATACACAACACTGTATTACTCTTCGATTTCCTTCAACATATTTCATACTTCTCAAAGAGTCACATCTAAGTCGACAGAGCAAAGATTGATGGTCCCTGCTCAGGCCAGGATATACCGCCAGCCCAGAAGCACATCCATGCACCAAGTACGCAGCCCGCTTCGGTACGATCTTATGGAGATCTGTGAGTACCACCTTAATAGTTGATATAACATCAGACAGCGGAATCGGTAGGTCATCATTTATAACCAGAGCCCTCCCACCTACGTGATCATCCATGGTTACTTGAGTAGCGAGCGCATCCACAGCTTCATTATGAACTAAGCCACAGTGCGAGGGTATCCATTGGGCAAAAAGACCAACACCCAATTGTCTCTTGAGTTCTTCGGCCTCGGCCACAACAGTAGTTACCGTTGGATCCCTGGTGTTGAAGCCACCACCCAGGGCGTAGACCACCGACTGATTATCCACGCAAAAACAGATACCATTACTCACCAGTCTACCAGCCATGCTCAGTAACCACCGTATAGCATGAAAGACACCAGCCAACTCAGCATAATAGATCGAACCATAGGGACTGAGCGGCACTGCCTTTTCATATAGAACTTCCCCATCGAGCACACATCTATAGCCACATCCTACTCTACCATCAGCCTTTGATCCATCAGAGAAAACTGTAAGAATCCCACCTCCAAATCCAGAGAGCGTATTTTCAGCACATCTCTTAAACTCCTTTTCATTGCCATCTTTCTTCATAACGCCTTGACCGATGTCTAACCGGACCGAGTCAAAGACAGCGCAGTGCCTATCAATGGGGTCTCTATACGGTACTACTCTAGTAGTTGAGCACTGAGGAAGAGCATCTGGTAGTAGACCCGATAGCTCGACCATCACATCATCAAATCTGTGCAGTGGGGCTCTTTTCTTCAGTTTTCGTAGACCCGTCCAATCGTCCAAGGTAAGCTGTGCTACATGAGTGAAAGGCAAGGACTGAGCCCGGAGAGTCCACCCTATAATGGCCAGATCCAGCAGATAGTTGATCGGCTTCAGTCCAGACTCACGCAGAACCAAGTCAGCAGGAGTTTGTTTCGGTAACCCAGTAATAAGTCTCGCACCAGCATTCTGTATAATCTGCAATTTAGCTAGCACTTTAACGCTAGCAGCAACTTGAGTGCATAACGCATATCTCATCCTAGACTCCACTACTGCTTGGTACGTAGACCTAATCACAGCTGCCGAGCAACCAAAGTTCGCCCCTGCGACCGCACGCACGAGGTTCAACCTAGCCTTGAGATTACCCACTAGGGCATCAACATTTGCCCGACAACTCAGGCCTGAATCTAAGATTATACCCAGATACTTTAGCGTCGGCG